AAATAGGGTGAATACATCTCATTACACTGAGTTACTGGTAGTCTCGAAACCCTACTTTAATACGAATACGAAATTATTGTTTTATTACCCTAAACCTAAATTAGGTTCCCTATTTATAGACATTCGGAGGCCTATTATTTCGCTAGCTGCTCTATTCTCGTTTGCTTACATTGTGTTACATAAGCCCTTAAGTCTAGCCCCTAAGTTTTATATTTGAGGACTTAGTTAAAATACTGTAGGCTTCCGTTCCGTCAAAGCCAGCAGCCTATCTGTAATCGCAACTGAAATACATTAAGTAAGAAGTTGAGTAACCTTAGGTCGCATGATAAGAGTTAAGTTTCAAACAACAAAATTGAATTTCACTTAGCCTTCTCAAGCTTTCTCATATGAGATGTACTCACCTATTTCGTTTAAGGTGATGGTAGTCTCGAAATTGCTTATAAACTAAAACTAACTCCTTTTGGGTTCTGTCGGTGAATCCAACTGGAACCGAGCTTGAGTTCTGTGCGTCAAGTGGCAACTATACTGCTCCGAAATATGTTCCCAGGGTAGATTCAACTTCCGAGGCAAAACAGGCCTCTGCCAACTCACATTCAAAGTGTTGTCGATAAGACAAACTTGTATTATCTATCGAATAAAAAATTATGCGAATATATCCCAAATAAGTAGATTTTAAAGTAGCTTCAAATTTGTAATACGGACTTGTGTGGACCTAGACCGTCCATGGAGATCTGAGAAGTTATACCAGATGTTTCTCGTCTACAGCCTCAGTATAAATATAAACATATACATGCTATCACAATAATCTACATGGACCGAAATGAGTAGTTTTCGAACCCATGGGTAGAACTTAAACAAGATCACGAGTCTGTTAAAGTCGCTTTGTGGGATGTTGGATTAATAGCAAAATGTTTCTATCATGTCTTCTATAGAGGCAAACAATCGACAGCATTAGTCTAGGCACAGTGATTATGTATCGAAACCTTAGTAAATCTTAACTAAGAGCATGCTTCTCATTCGCAGTTTAAAGTAACATCGACTTGAGAGGGTTCACGCCAGATTTGATCCCGCTTTTCACCACTTTTTTCGGGTCTCTTTCCAGCATTGGATCGCTGACTAGCAATCTTTCCAGACGTTTCGCCGGCATCGTGGTCGACAATGCTACTGTTTAGCATCGCTCCTAGTCACGCGCTACCAGAAATTGTCATTTTCATCTTTGCGGTCAGATGTTTGAGGAAGACATGATAAATGTGACTTAATTAAGAAAAAGAGGTCTTAACATTACGAGGAGAATGTGACCGATTTGAGGGTTGACGAAAACCAAAAATGTGCTTCGCGAGATTGGACTTTCTGTCCCTCCACTCCCAAACTGCCTCATATTCGAAAGCTGGAGAAGCGACAGGAAAGACAAGAGGCCCAATTCTTTCTAACTAAGGTGGAAATGTATGAGTCCCCAGTGGCACCTCTACAACCTGTTGCAATTAAGCTTAGCCACCGGGGGAGTCTGTACACAAGCCAGAGAGACTCGATAGGTTGGAGGCATTTGTAGAACAAGACAGTTTCATTGGTTCCTGGGCCCCCTGGGTTTAACAGCTCTACATGTGATTCTGCTTCTAAGGCCTCACGATGGCAAGATATTAAATGGTGCCTCTGAAGTTGTCTATTTAGGTCAGATTGCTAACGT